CAGGGAGCAGGGCAGCAGCTCTGCGCCCACCCACGCACCCGGCAGACATGCGGTGCCGGGCTGCCCCATCGGCACCGGGTCTGGGCACAACCCGGACCTCGGCAAAGCTCCCCCTCGGGCCCTCCTCGCTGGGCTGCGGCGGAGCCGGCGCGGGGCAGCTCAAAACTACTTACAGCATTTATTTTTTTTTTTTTAAACACATGCTCGTTTATGAAAACAATCACCCTGGCACGGTCCAAGCATATACAGACAAATCTACTCTACGACACGAGGGGGCTGCCAAAGGAATGGGGAAAAGCCTCTACTCATCCACTCAGCAGTTCCAGCACAGCCACGGAGAGGGGAACGGCCGTCCAGGGCCCCTTCCGCAACGGGATACCTCGGCGTCACCGTCGCCAGTACTCCAGCTGCCGGAGCTGAGAGCGGGTTTAGGGGGTACCTGGCAGCTATCTTCATACACATCTCGGCTTTCGGAGGTAAAAACAAAAGGTTTCTTCCAAATCAGCAGGCAAATTTAATACAGAAAGGGAGGGCACCTCCCTGCAGTCCCTGCCTGCAGCACCCACTGCCTGTGCCGCCTGCATGGCCAGTGCCAGCCCCGGCATCGTTAGGGTAACGAGCGTGGGAAGGTCACATCCCCTTCCCTTGAGGACCTCCCGCTGCCCCGTGCTGCGGTGCGGGGTGCTCGGGTCAGCGTCGTGCTGCGGCTGCCCCTCTATCCCCTTCCCCACTTTCCCGGGGCGGTGGGCATCCCTGCCAGGGCAGGTGGCCCCAGGGCAGGGCCGGGACAGTGAGGGACCTCGCGGGGGGACGAGGGGAGGGAGCGGGGGACGGGCACGGGCTGTGCGCTCCGAGGAGCAGGGGGAGAGGAGGTTTTTGTACCTCATAGTGTCACTGATTTTGAAGTCCTGGAGCTAGAGCTGAATGAACAGTAAAAGCAGGTTAAATCATTAACCAGTTAGGGGATGGGGAAGCAGCTGTAAAAGGAACAGAGGAAGAAGGCCAGATTATTATTTTTGTTTCTTTTCTTTTTTTTTTTTTTCCTTGTCTTCTCTCATCTTCGCCCGCTGCGCCCCGATCACAAGCCCTGCTTGGCCAGCGAAGCAGACACTTCGTCGGCTAGCGTGGCGAGCTGGGGGGAGTCCACCATATTGATGCTGCCGGTGGAGGAGACGTTGCTAAGGCGGCGCGGGGAGGCATCTCCGGAGATGGTGGGGGACTTGTAGACGATTTCGGCGCCGTGGTCGGTCTTGGCTTTGGCGTTCTCGCGGAAAGTCAGCTTATGAGTCTCAATCTGCAACGAGAGGAGAGGGCGGTGAGCGGGGAGGATGCGGGACACCGTCCGGAAAGGCTGTTTTTACCTGCAAGCTGTCGGCTCGGTCACTGCCGCTGTGCAGCTGGGAGGAAAGCTCAGCTCATTGGCCTGATGCCCCCAGTGCCCCCAGTCCTCAGGCACGTCCCTTCCAGTAGCCCACACAGGGAATGGGCACAACTGGAGGGGACGGCAGGACTGGAGCATCTCGGGATGCTGCCAAATCCTTCCCCAGCGCCCAGGCCCGGTGTGACGGCGGGTCCCAGGCACAGGACTCGGACAGCACAACCTGGGCTGCTCCCGCTCCCCCGGCAGAGATTTACGGAGGGGGTGGGATCCCCATACGGCACAGAAGGCTGCCCCTTAACCCACGGCCCAGCTGGGCACAAAACGCTGCTCCCACAAGCCAACCCCCTCTTCTCCCGGCAAGCGCGAGGGCCGGGGAGGGGAGGTGAAGTGGATCAGTTTTGCTACTTACTGGTGCCCTCCCCAGCCGAGTGCAAGGCTGGGAGCTGGCTCTCCGGGGGGGTGGGCGGCTCCAGCACCAGGGCCTGGAGCCCAGCGGGGTCTGGGCTCGGGGTCCGAGCAGCCTGGGGACGGGTCTTGTCTTCCTTGCCTTTCTCTCTCTACAGGTGAAGAAATCCGCCCAGGGCGGTGGGGTGCAAAAAACGCATCAGCAACAAAAAACAAGACCCAATAAATGTCAACCAGAAGGAAGAAGACAAAAAATAAAGAAAAGAAATAAAAAATTGGGGAGAAAAAGATCTGAAAAACAGGGCCATTCACTGGCTCATAGGAAGAACGGCGGCTGCCTTTGGAGACGGGGAGGAAAGCTTTCCATGTGCAGCAAAGGAGAGCAGATGCTGCCGGCACAGGTACTTCGGCAGAGCACAGAGCACCCCGGCTCCCCAGTACAAGGGTGGCACATAAACCAGCGTTCAGCCTGGAGAGCTGTGGACTATGTGTCCAAATCTGGATCTTCTGCGTTGCAGAGCGCGGAGGGGACTGGGGACATGGGAAAGGCTGGGGAAGGGGCAGCGGAGCCACCCACAGCCGCTCTACGTGGAGGGCTGATGGGGCTCAACTGCGTCCTCTGTCCCCTCCCTGCGAATGGAGTGTCCCACCTCAGAGCAGCGCTGCCTGAGGATGGTCCCTGGTGCTAAGGTGAGAATGGGAATGGGCTGGACAAGGGAAGCAATCTGCAGCAGCATCTGAACTCAAGTTACACCGACAACCTCCTCCAGGTGTGGATTTAGGGAGGGTATGGGCAACTGCCACGCAGGAAGGCTGAGGCAGGTGATGCCACTGGCTGGGTCACACCCTTGCAAATAAATTCCCCCTCCAAAAGGCAAGTTCTTCAAACTATGGCCCAGTGAATGTGCCAGGATATGAAAGAATCATCACTGTAATTATAAAAACGATGAAAATGGGCTCAGTGAAGCACAGGGCAGTCTGATGCGTAGCAGCAGCGAGAGAAGGGTAAGGAAGTCAAGCGATCCCTCAGTCAGAGGCCGGCGCACCGCTGGGAGATGAAGAGCTGGGAGGTGCACAGAGCAAACGTGGCCGAGAACAAAGTGCCAAAATACAGGAGCCGAAACAGAACCTTCCCCTCCCATTGAGAAAAAAGTGTTTGAAAAACAAGCAAGACAAAAAACACTTTTCCCTGGAGAAATTCAACCGTGCGTGTCACCAGGCTGTGGAGTCTCAACTCTGTGCTTACCTGATCTCCCTGCTCCCCTGCCTGCAAGGGACTTGGCTGTCCTTGAAGCAAGGTTCTTCTTAGCTAAGACTTACTGTAAAGTAACCATCAAAGCCTCCGGCAGGACCGGCTCACCCCAAGTTCAGTATTTCACCTGACCTAATTGGCTTCTGTGTTTCAATTTAAATCCCCCCAAACACGCACTGCTCCCTACGCAGAGTCCTTGGTCGGTCTCAGCTGAGAGACTGAGACTTGAAGTAAGAAGAGATCACCTTTCTTCTGAAGTGACGGCCTACTGCAAAGTCACCTTTTCTAAATGAAGCTATGCCTTTAATGCTCCACTTCCACTGGGGAACCAACGCCTATGCAGCACGCTGAGCTGCCAGCTTTGGGCCGCACCGCTGGGAGTAATTGGTAACGCAGAGTGCCAAAGCGGTTGCTGACGGTGGCACCCATTAATGTGAAAGGTTTGAGACACAACCATGTTTCTTCACAAACTTCAGAGAACAGCAGAAAGAGCAGGAAACCACAGGAGAGGATATCACTTACATTCACACTCATTCAGGTGGCCATGGGCCAGGAGGAGGACAGACTGCCATCCTCGCGGCTGTGCCGCAGCTGTGCTCCACCAAATGTCCTCCAGGTTGGCCAAGGCAGCCCGGGAGCCCTCGGCTCTGCCCGCCTGCAGCAAGCCGCTGGCAGGAAGACGAGCTGGCTGTGTGGGCAGTGGCTGAGCGGCCCGTCCCTGGGCAGGGCGCTTTTTGTCCTCTGAAGGACAAGTGTGCACAGATCACCCCACGCTAGAACATGGGCAGCAAATCGTTTCAAGCACTGGGGAAGAAGTGCTGCCTGGTAAGCAGAGAGGAGAGGCCATGTGGGCTGAAGATGAGCTGGGTGAGCAGGACCTTCTCCGGGTCCAGACTTCAACCACCCTCTGCTTGAGTGCCTGCTCACAGGGCACACAGACACTGGCAGCAGAACACCGTGCTTGCTCTGGACCCAGTGCCCCTTTACCTTTTTATTTCCTCCTCCAGGGACGTGGCTGATGTTATCTAAGGACCCGATTTTCGATTGCACCTTATCTTTGAAGTCCAGTTTCTCAGATTTCACCTCCACCTGGCCACCGCCTGGAAGAGAAGAGCACGAGCAGGGTAGGCTCCTGTGCCAGCCAGGGTAGGCTGGAGATAACGTACTCAGGTCTGAGCTGCCGCTCCGAGGTGGCTCAACCAAAGCACTGCTGAGGCTGAGCAGAGGGTGAGGACCAGGAAAGCAGCAGCAAGAGGGACCCCATGGTGATTTGGGAAACCCAGGAGCCAGGGCAAGTGGGAACCAGGGTAAAGAGACTTTCCAAAGGATGCTGCAGAGCCGACAGACATCCCAATGTTAAAACAGAGCCAAGGGAAGGGAGCTAACCTTACTCTCCCTAAACACCAGCAGTTCCCCCTATTTATTCCTAAATACTTCCCATTCACAGCGATGTGTTGGCACAGACAAGGGTGTCCATGGACCAGACCAGATCCCTCCCCTACGACCCAATCGTCAGGCAGACTGGAGAGGGTCTTGCAGTGACAGAGCTGGTAACAGCATCCAGCACCCCAGGGCTCACTCTGATGCTCCAGTCACTATCCCACGTGCCTCCCCTCGCTCCCTGCACTACCCCAACCCTCTCCCCGTCGCCGGCTGCACACCACGACGCAGCCTGTGAGCTCCCAAGGACCAGCACCCAGTGCTGCTGGATGCTGCGGAGTCAAAGGGTACCTGGTTTGTGATGGATGTTGCCCAGGGAACCACATTTGGATGTCACGTGGCTCAGGTCGACTGGCTTGTAAACGATTTGAACCTGTCCGTATGAGAAAGGAAAAGGCGATGAGCTCATTGCCACCACGGGCAACCAGGGGAGGGGGAGGCACAACACACACCGGCACCTGATCTGGATTCAAGGGAAAGGACAGCTTAAACCCCAGTAAGATTAATAATACAAAAGAAACTGTCATCAGAAAAGGGAGATCATTAATGCCCGTGTGCAGTAGCCTCTCTTAACGTGTCAGCATGCACAAGATCACCTCTCCACAGAGGGGGGAAGTAGAGGCAATTTTAAAGTGCTTAAGTGAGAGAGAAAGTGGAGTGGTAATTAATTAAGATTTGCATACACATCATCCAAAAGGAGAAGATATACCAGAGAGAAAACGTAAAAAATAAATACCTTTTCTGGTGTAAAACATAAAGCTTATGTCCACAAAAACTGAAAGAACAGAAATGATCAATGTGCACAGAACTTTAAAAAGAATGACCAAAATATGCATTTCTGAAAAATGCTGTAATGGAAATAAGGGTTAAAAAAAAAAGCAAAGCAAAGTCTAAATATCTGGCAGGAGTTCACATAATATAAATTAAAATGGCAATTATAATATATTGAACCATAACATTATTTCATGATATTATGCTCTGGTTTTTATTTGTTTTACCCATTACGACTCTGAACATGGGCTCCAGCAATTCCACTTAAACGGCCCCATTCAAAGACCGGCCACGGCACTGTGGCATGCCTGGGCGTGGGGCCGGCGGCCTCTTGCGCACGGACAACCGGGTTACACGAGACGCACACACAAGGAACGGTTAACGTGGAGCTGTTTAGTAGTTACGTTAGCGGTTAAACACCACACTGGAAAACACCAACGGCTGGAGAGGTCTGGGACCATCAGGCGTGTCAGGGACGGCAAACCACAGCACATACACACCAGCTACATCAGCAGCAGGAGACAAGGGGGTGAGAAAACATCCCCATACCCCCAGAAGTTACCTTGGACCCTGGTTTTGGACCCACACCTGTGTCTGAATCAGCTATTGCTGTAGTTAGCGGGGCTGTGCAGGAGAAATGGGATCACCAGCACCTCAAGGTCGGTTCCTACTCACTGGGAAGTGTCTGGCTCTCAGTAATAGCCTGGATTGCAAGGCGAGCGTATGCTGCTGTCTGTGTTTTCACCAAGCACCACGACAGGCGTGCTGCTCTCACAAATCTCGGGAAGGATGTGCCAGCACCAAAGGGACCTTTGCAGAGGAGCTGACTCCTCCAAGCAGCCAGGCAGCCTCTGGACCAACGTGGCCGAAAGCCAGCACTAAGGATTCACCATAGCCACTGCTCTCCATCCACCTGAGTGCCCTGTGCTGACTCAAAAGCCCTGGGGTGAAGGTGCATCCTTCAGTTCCTTCATGTTGGCCCCATGTCCACCAGCCCCATCACCCCCAGAGGCAGGTGTTGGACCGTGGTTGTGCACACCACTGATAAACACCCCTCCCTCCATCATGCAGCCAGGAAAAGGTGGGGGGAACAGAGGCTCGGTGCCACCGTCCCACCGGCACAGAGCCAGAGCAGCGTGCATGCAGGCCTGCCTTGCCTCCGATGCTCACGCATACCAAAAGGCACATTTGACAGAGAGTGGAGACAGAGAGAGGGGAGAAAAGCAACCCTAGGGTCTGGGAGCACATCGCAGACACAGACATGAAGACAGGGTTGGGGAAAGATCACACGTTTAATGCACTGGGCAGGAGGAGAGCTAGATTCAGTCGGAAGGCAGGAAACAGACCCCAAAAGGACAGCTGGTGCCTTTCTAATCCCAGCTGTGACCCCGAAGGGCCTATGAGCAATTGGGGCACCACTGGGACCTGAGACTGAAAGACCTCCATTTCCAGAGCAAGCAATCAGCGATTGAAACACTTTTTGCTCTCATTCCAGTTCCCTTTTTTTATAGACAGGACTCCATTAACCCTTACCATCCTGCTGGGGAGCAGAGAAGGGTCCTCCTCATTTTAGCAAGAAAGGAAAAAGGGCACAGAGTTGCTTGCCTGGGAAACCAGTGCCAGAGACCTGGGGATCCCACCTCTCAGCATCAGCAGTGCTTACATCAACTTTTGCCTAATGCATCACCTTGTCAGAGCATCCACTGGCTTAAAAAATAGATACCAACCCCAGGTTACTGTAGCAACACTTCATTCCTCTTGAAGCAGCAACGGCTGGGCAGGCAGTCACTGCTGACAGCGTCGTGGAGGACTAAGACATGACAGCCATCAAACCCGGTGGTCTCTTGTTGCCCCTCTATCGGAGGAGCCCCAAGGCACAGCTCTGCCGCCAGGACAGCCTGTGCGGCCACGCTCTGGCCACGTCAGCACATGGCTTTGCTCCGAGAGCCCGCACCCAGAGCTAAGCTGCTGCTTTCCGTGTCAATGCAGCCGGCAGCAATCACACGATTTTCACTGCTGGCAGAGCCTGGGGAGGGATGACAACCTCCAGCCAAAAATCCAGATAATTCTTAACCCACTGCAGCCACTGCAGCTGCGAACGCTTGCCCATGGTGTGAGCTCTCAGCGGAGAAAAGGATGAGCTCACCACCCTGTGCTGAAGCTGATTACCAGCCACAGCACAGATGATTCATGACGAACACTAACTCCTGGCGCAACAAGTGGTCCTCCACGCACCAGGCAGTCCAGCCAGTGCAGGACCCTGGGGTAAGAAAGAGCAGAACAAGCATGGAACCTGCTTCACAGAGGTCTGACCTCTGCAAAGCAGCTCCTCTGGCCCATTAAATAAATGCAGAATGACATCAAATTTAAGACAGAGGTTGCAAACCTAGCTATGTCCCAATGCTTACGTGCCAAGCCCTCTGCAATGCTCAGTTTCTCAGGGAGGGCGTCCAGAGAGATCAAAAACAGCACAAAGAAAATCCATCGGCAACATCTGAGGGGCACCAGATAGCTTCCTCAGGTGGCTGCAGACCAGGCAAGCACAGACCATGGGTCGCACTGTTTGGGGTCTCAGTGATGCTCCTTCCCTGGTGTCATCTTTCCTGGACCCAAACTCTGTCTCCAGAGAGACTGGTGTAAATCCACCAACCGCTGTGGAGTTTCTCCAGGTTTCTGGCACAGTAACTGAAAGCTGAGTCCGGCTATTCAGCTGGCAATGGCTGGAAATGCCGGCGTTCAAATCAATTAACTCAATATTACTTTAGGCTCAGCCTCCATGGGCACTGCCTGACATACACCAGACATATTCATTAGCAAGGAGAAGCTTAGTATTTGAATGGATCATACTTGCCTGATGGGAACCGGCAGGAACCTGCGCTTTCACATGTTGTGCAGAGTCATGTGCAATTTCGCAGTGCATTAAGCAACGAGGACTGCATTTGCTTATAAATCTATCCATCTACTGCATCAGCAACTACGTCACTGTTTGCTAGAGGCCAACCATCCTGCAGACAATGAGGCATTAAGCCTTCCAGGTAGTGTAAAACCTTCGAGTTAACGGGATGTTTTGTTACAGACATGGTTTCTAGACGGGCCAGTTAGTTCTGTCCATGTCAGGCATGTACAGGACTTGTTAGGGTTCATCTAACCATGTCTTTTGGGTTAATGGGGTTAAATGACAGCACGTCACCAATGGCTATCTGACAGCAGGGTCGCTGCAGATAGCATTGGCGAATTGGCGTATACAACATGCCACTAATAATAAGGATTATTACAGTGCATTGAAAGTGTGAAGGTACTCACACTGCCTCCTCCCGGGATGTGTTTGATATTATCCTTTGAGCCACACCTGGATTGAACGCTGCTAAAGTCCAACTTCTTATTAACAATCTGCACCTTTGGTAGCCAGAAAAGAGTCATTGCACGTCACCAATAGCTATCTGACGGCAGGGTCGCTGCAGATAGCATTGGCGGTTTAGTGTATACAACATGCCACTTATAATAAGAACTATTATAGTGCATTGAAAGTGTGAAGGTACTCACACTGCCTCCTCCTGGGATGTGTTTGATATTATCCTTTGAGCCACACTTGGATTGAACGCTGCTAAAGTCCAGCTTCTTATTAATAATCTGCACCTTTGGTAGCCAGAAAAGAGTGTGAGAAACAACATGACCATCTGCAGCTTGACCATGAGTTATATCACTAAAACCAGGAACCTGCCTTCCAGTGCCAAGAGCAAAGGAGAATCTCTGGCTTGCTGCACAGATTTGTCTACTCATGGGTTGGAAACTGAAGATGGAGGTGGGCAGGTTATAGCTAGAGATTGGATATGTCTGGCTAGCAAAGCAGCCCTGGTTTCCAGCCCAGAAACACTAGCAAAAAAGCCAGCTCACCCCATTTTCTTTCACTGAACAAAACGGGGAACTTGCTGGGCAGCAAACACGCTGGAAGGCACCAGTGGTCTGAGACTCAGCTTCCGCAGAGCCAGTGGAAGAAGGAAGGATGGAGCTGGGAGACAAATGCCTGCTCAGCCCCATCTCCCACGCTGGGCAGCATGCCCCCTCTCTAGGACAGAGATACGTGGCCTCACGTTTCAGCAGCTTGAGCAAACTGGGCAAACGGGTGCGGCTGGCAGGGGCAGCAGGCTGGAGAGGAGGAGTTGTGTGTCCAGCACTGTCTGGGAGAGGACACCTGAGCTCTGTGCTGTGCAGGGCTCAAACTCCCTCTACAGTTACAAAGAGAAAAAACAAATGCTGCCAGGGATGCAGACCCATGCCTGCAGTCTTCTTAACTCCTGTATAGATGAGATGAAAGGGGCAGCACAGACCAACCCCAAAGGCAGCTGCTCTATTGCATATTCCTAACACCATCTCGGGTGGGAGACAGGCTGGAAATGGCTTGGTGCCACAGGGGAACCACACACCATGCCAACCTCACCCTCCAGTCCCAAGGCCTGTCTACACTCTCCACACACACACAGATTTTTGCACTAATTAATTAAGCTGTTTCCCTTTAGGGCTTGTTTTCCCTATTTGGGTTTTATAAGGGCAGCTATGCTGGAGTGACTCCACGCATAGGAACAGCTATTCCAGGCAAGACAAAGATGAAGATAGTCCCTGCTCCTTCCCCTACATGGACTGGAGTGGCTTTAAAACCTATGCAAGTATAAACCAGAGGTAAATGCAGGTAAAAATCAGCAGGCACACAGGCCTGTGCTCCCTCAGGAGAAAGCCTGTCTGAAGCACAACCCTCATGAGAGGAAAAGAGACACAGCATCCTGCACGAAAGCAGCGTCACATCACACTGCACATGCAGTCCCTGGATGACAACGTCCACGAAGCTGGCTGAGCAGGCAACCTCGCCCTCCGTTTCAGCATGTCCCCAGCCTGCTGCTGCAAGGAGAGCGCCTTGCTATACCTTGGTTCTTTAGCACGAGAAGCACCAAGGCTCCTCACGTGCCTCCAGCCTCATTTTTCAAGTTCACATCAACTAATCCTGCAAATCAGGATCCAGTTCTGCTAGACCAGGCTTTGCCAGAGCAGTACTCAGTGATCCAGCAACAACAAAAGTGCTCAGACAATGCAGAAATACTGGGAAGAGATCTGGCCTGGCTGACTCCTGGTGCGTGTGCCCCATGTACCTTTGCTTCCCTAGGCTGGGGGTCTGAAATCTGCATGGAGAGCAGGCTCCAGACTCATCTTCTGGCCACCCTAAAATCAAACTCGTTGGATCAGCCCCTTCTGCCCCAGCTGCAACAGTTCTGCTAAGAGCAGACTCGTGTCCTACAAAATCCCCAACAGAGCATCCAGCCATTCTCCCCTGCAAAGAACAATGAGTTGTCCCAAATTCAGCTGTTCTTACTCTTTCAGTGACAACAATAAACAACATGTTGCCTGAGAGAGAAGCTGACAGAGAAAAAAAAAAACTTGTAAAAGCTGGATTAAAAAGAACAAGCAAACAATTTAACCAATTTACAGTAAACGGAAGGGTTCCTTCTAAAATCCCTGAAAAGCAGTGTTTGGTGGGGGCAGCAGGAAAAACTTATGCCTTCTGCTAAGTGGACAGGAGGGCTGAGGCCCCGGGACGTGGGCAGCTGGAAGGACTCATGCTGCTCTGCTCATGACCAATGGCCAGAGCAGCCCTGCCCAGGCTCCAGAGCCCCCCTGGATTGTAGTGCAGAGCAAAACGTGCATTGTCCAGTAAATCGCCAGCCACGGCAAAAAATGCACATAAGGAAATGGAAAAGCACGCTGCTATTGTGAAGAGAAGCCATCTCAAAGCCTCCCCCCATGCCAAAGTCGAACATTCAGAGCCATGGAGTTACCTAGTCACACAAAATGGCATGCACCGCACCCGGGGAAGATTTGTCATGGCTCTGTTGCATTAGCAGCTGCAGAGCATGGTCTGCAAGGCAGTGTTCCCCCCCAGGGCAGGCAAGCACAAGCACATGGGGACTCCTGACTGCAGCGGCCATCAGATGTGCAGTTCTGTCATTTAACATCTGTGTAAGAGCCACCAGTCAGAGGAGCGAGGTGCTTTCATGTCTCCACCCATGCAGCAAGGAGGATTTTATAAAAGCCTCAGGACACATCCACACAGTGCAACGGAGCAGTGCAGAGAGGCTCGGATGGGGGCTGAGCAGCCAACACCACAGCTGGAGCCGTGTAACCACACACTGCTGCTCCTGGGGCTGCATGGATGAATTAGCTCACACCACCCCCTCACCCAAACTCTCCTCTGCTGGACTCGCAAAATTTAACACAAGACCCTCGTTCCCAAGCCCCTGGAGCACGGAGTTCACTTTGCTGCTCATGAAACAACCTCTCTGGGAGTGAAAAGTACTAGTGGTTGAAAGGATAATAGTGCCACCAGTTCTGGCCGTGCCACACTGCATCATGTAGCAAGACAGTGCCTGATTGCAGAACGCAATCCAAAACCTTGCCAACAGAGTTGGATCCAAAATCACAACATTCTGAAAAACGTGCCAAGCCTGGAACCCTCACAGGGAGGCGACCATCCTGTCTGCTCGCTAATGAAGAAATGGAAGCAGCGTTGAAGGGACTGCTCCAGATCACACAGTATAGGTTTCAGAAACACAACCCTGATCCTGCGACTCTTTAGAGCTGCAGGTCACTATTTGCTCTCCCTAACTGGACACCGTAAGGGAATGTCATTCCCCTGGCAGCCAGTCCATACGTTGACGTGCCACCCCGTGAAAGCCACATCACAAGCTCCCTGCAGTCCCCTCTGCGGGACAGCTGTATTGCACTAAGCCAGGCAAGCAATCTCAGGACAAGCACCCAACCCAATCAGCCCAAACAACTCCAAAATCAGAATCAGGCTGGAGATCAGCTGAAGCATAGCTGCCCGCTGCTGTACCTCTGGCCCCAGTTGAGCTGCTGCTGATCCAGGGAGGGCTCTCCCCTCCCAGATGCAGCGTCAAGCACCCGCTGTCCCTACCGACAGGCCCCTGGAAAGCAGAGTCCACATTTACCTTGCCACCTCCGGGCTGGTGCTTCAGGTTTTCAGTTGAGCCAATTTTGGACTTCACATTTTTCAGATCAGGCATGGGTGCGGCAGACGGCTGGATGCGGCTCTTGGCAGATGCAGGAGATTTCGGTGGTGTGCGAACCACTGCCACCTTCTTGGGCTCCCTGGCTGGTGGGGTGGGCAGAGAGGGAGTGCGGGAACGGCTGCCTGGAGTCCCGGGGGAGCCGGGACTGCTGTAACCGCTTCTGTCTCCAGACTTTGGCTGCTCACCTGAAGTTTGCAGACAGAGGGAAGCAAGAACAGGATAAGCAATCTGGGTATGCAACCCCTTCCCCGCATACTGCCTGCCTCTATGGGGTTGATCTGCCTGGTCCCAGGGCCCACCCGCTACTCCTAGTGCAGACCATCAGCAGGGGGGAGATGGCTGCACTTTCTTGTACTTCAGTTTGAAGTGAAACTGTGATTAAAGGCAATTTCCTAGTATCTCAGAAGGAAGATGGTCTTCGTTGTCTGGATCGCTGGTAAGACTCCCCACCCGAGCGTGACATTAGCATGCATGACAAATTACAGACAAAAGACACTCAAACAAAACCAATTTTCTATTAGAAATTTGGAAGCATTTTTAGAAAATTATTTTATGTAATTAAATAAGGCTGGTCACTGAGCAGCTTAGAACTGTACCCAGTCTGAAAAGAAATGGAAGAAGAAAAGAAAACCCTTAAACATCACCTTTCTCAGACTTTGCTGCTGCAGGAGGTGGTTTTTTCTGCTCCTTTCTGCCTGTTTAATGAATGAGAAAGATAGATGTCTGCACTTTCTTCTACTTCAGTTTGAAGTGAAACTGTGATTAAAGGCAATTTCCTAGTATCTCAGAAGGAAGATGGTCTTCGTTGTCTGGATCGCTGGTAAGACTCCCCACCCGAGCGTGACATTAGCATGCATGACAAATTACAGACAAAAGACACTCAAACAAAACCAATTTTCTATTAGAAATTTGGAAGCATTTTTAGAAAATTATTTTATGTAATTAAATAAGGCTGGTCACTGAGCAGCTTAGAACTGTACCCAGTCTGAAAAGAAATGGAAGAAGAAAAGAAAACCCTTAAACATCACCTTTCTCAGACTTTGCTGCTGCAGGAGGTGGTTTTTTCTGCTCCTTTCTGCCTGTTTAATGAATGAGAAAGATGCTTAAACATGATAAAGCTGGAAATTTAATTGATTTAAGGTTTTATGCAGCTCTGGTTAAGTATGAAAAATATATACTTTCAGTGAAATGCACTGTTTTAACGGAAATTCACAATGCCTGATGCTTTCTGGGGTTTTCTTCTCTGAGAATAATGGGCTAATCTCCATTCCTGCAATCGAAGAATTGATCCTCTTGCCTCTGGTCTTTGTGAAATATTGTCAAGAGAAAAAGAATAGATGGATTAAAAAAATGGATCTGCCTAAATCTTTCAAATTGGAAGAAATCCCAAAGGGATAAAGCAACTGCCCTCTCCTACACACTGGCAACTATACAGACAGAGCAGATAAAGCAGCATCCAGAAAGGTTCACTTCAGAGGAATCGCCCCTAGCTCTGCACCCACAGCCCCGTGACAAGGCTGAGCAGCTCCCAACCTGCTGGCCGTGCCCTTGCTTAGCGCTGTGCATGTCCCCAGCCTGCACTGGGGCAAACCTGTTCACTACCCCCACATAACGGCATGGAGAGCCTGGGAGCACCACCAAAGCGGAGCCTCTAGAGTCAGAGACACTATGGGAAGGTGGCTGCATGCCGCTCTCGCCATCACCTACCGGAGCTGGGAGGTGTCTTGGGGGCCGTGGGAGTCTTTGCTGGGATGCGTGTGGCATTGGTCGAGTTCCTCTGAGCCTGCCCAGCTGCAGACCGCGGCGTGGCCGTCTTCGTGCCACCTCTCATCTCCGGGCCCTGGGGACGCAAGGAGGAAAGGCTGATGCAGGGGGGATCTGCCCAGGGATGGGCTATCACTCCTCGTGGATCAGAGCCACACGAGACCCTCCTGGCTTCCTACCCTGACAGCTCACAGGAGCTCCCACGGGTTTCCCCACATGCAGGCATTTGCGACGTGCCTGTTCACACCCCGTCTCCCATCACGGCGCCTGCCACAACGGCTGCACGGTCACTCCTGGGCTGGCAGAACGGCTGCGCAGCTTTCCCATGTGAGCTCTTAGCTTCCGCTACATTATTCACCGCACACTCAGGCCTGGTTAAAAAGTATGTTCAACTCCTTTGTCTGTTCTCTGAATTTCATCGCTTTGTTTCCCCTGTCCTGCTAAAATTTTGTACAGAAGATAAATAAATCCATTGACTAGACCAGAGGCTCCATTCAGGAGTACAGTGCCAGACTCCAAGCACAGAGAAGCACCTCCTTTATCCTCACCTGTAATACACTACTGTAACATGTACATAATCTGTAATGGCATGTAAATAGCAATATGCTATTTATTGTCTTCTGATCCTGCAGAAAAGCCTCCCCAAATCTATGGCTTTCTAATGCTGGTCTGTGTACAAAAGCTCATGAAGAACATGCAAGTGAAGATTTACAAGCTGACTGGTCCCAAGGCAGCAGGGAACCAGAGCAGAGCCATCGCAATCCCTATCGCAGTAAAACCATATCCCATTGTCTGCGACCTGCGATCTCTGCTCCTTCCCTCACCACGCGTGTATTTGTATGACTAAACACCACAAAGGGAAACTCCAAGCTACTTTTTACATGGCAGAATATGCCACGGATGTGTGTGCATTTCCTATTCTCTGTGTAGCACCCGGCAGATCTGGCTCCGGCACATTTCAAATACATCTGCTGTTTACAGCCAATGCACCCATGAAACACAGCATAAAGCTGCAAAGAGCACGACAGAACATAAAGGGACCTGGAAATGCCTCAGGGAGACCAGGTAACACCCTGCAACAATGAGAGAGTTTTGCTGTTACACAGAGCAAGAGGTCTGCGTGCTGGTGAGATGGATCCAGTTGCTTCAAACACCAAAACTGGAGCCAAGTCTGGCCATGGCCACTGGAAGGTGAAGGGGAAGCACATCCCACCCTCTCCACTGAATGGGACATGGAGAGACTGCCCAGCCAAGCACTGCCAGACCT